AATGGGTTCTTAGATGCTCCAAACGTTAACGGATGTCATGAACATTATTAAGCAGAAGCATACGGCTGTGTACTGACTGTTATGGCATCACACTTTGCAGAGGGAATTACTCTCCTTAAAGGACAGCTCTGGATGGCTTCTTTCTCCTCGCATGATGCTGCACCAGATGTAGAAGCAACATCACTGACAGAAATAAAGAATAATGAACGAACAAACAAACTAGGAAGCCAACTTTATAACAGGAGTAGACACTAGGTGGTTTTGGTGTTACACATCCCCTGTGGTCAGCAAATAATTAAACGATCAAATTAGTAGTTACACAGGATAAAGGAAGATAACTACACAATAACATGATTCCACTCCACTTTTACACGCGAACAACCAAATTCACCTGCAGCCCCAGAGGGGCATTCAATTTTATTGGTAAAACCCAGCCCTATTATTATAAAGCCAAATGTCCTATTAAACTTGTGTGGGAAATCAAGGTTATATGCCACATCAGGGATCCTCAAATTACGGCCCTCTCCTAGGTTGTCACCTGTCCCTTACGTTATGCGATCGTCCCGTATTGGAACATAAAATGGTGTGTCCTGAATTGAATCGGAAACATGATTTGTCCCATATTTTCCAGGGACCGACTTATGTCTCATTTCCAAGCCCGCTGGTGACATGCAAGTGGCTGTCGACATATAGGTCTAAAGGAGAGAGAAGATACCCGTGGGTCAGCCCTGTCCCAGGCGACGTATACAAGGCAAATAATACAGCTAAAGAGCAGGTGACATTTCCTGAGGCAGACATGGTGTATTGTTGTTGCTGAATTAATTTTAAGCTGCTCACGTTAGCCTATATTATACTGTAACCAACAAAACTAGGCAATAGCTTCTACAGAAACAGAGAGACTGTTTATTTATTTATTTAATACAATGTATTTTCTAGGGAATGCCTGCAGCCACTGACTGCTTCAGTGTGTTTAGGACATACAGGATGTCATCCCTCTTTTTCAATCTAAGTGTGTAATTGTTGGTGGGTTTTGTTGCTTTGTCTTGCAATAAAGCACTTCAAAATGTATGCATTGGTTTCTCCAAAAATGATAGCACCCCCCGGGTGGAGGGGTGCACATGCCTCGCTTGCTCACATTGAAGGTGGTGACCTACCTGCTCCCTCCAAGGTCCGGGAATCGCCATCAGATTCGCAGCGGCTGGCTGACCCCCGCGAATGACGCGCAGTGTCCCCGCAACCTGTTGCTCTTCCTGCTATTCAGCGGTGGTCAAATTATCCAGCAAGAAATTTATATAATTTATATAATAAATGCATAAAATGACATTATCACTACGGTTAAAACATTTGAGGACTCCTGTGCTACATGGTGAATTTTGTTCATATAATTTCCACAAATATCACTGGCAGGCTAACTGCATGCCATAGAGTGTCCCATACACCACTTATATACAGTATGCAAGTTACATATAACTTATATATAATCCATATCCTTATAACTTGGTAATTAAAGTACAGGGCTGTTGGTCTTAGGGCATTGGTTAAATTAGGATAAAACCTGTCAGATCTTAGATGAATAACAAAATCAATTTGGAGGAATTTTAGCATTTTAATAGATTAAGCCGAGAGCTCTGCAAGAGCCAGACCCATAGTCATAAAAATATGAATAACCTACTATACAAAAAAATAACAAAATTCCACATGCTGACGTGACAGGCCCCCAGTCAGAAGACCTTTGCTTCTTTCTCTTCAATATTCTGGAGAATCCATCGGTAACCTATCCATCTTCATTTATAAATGCAGCTCTGTTCCTTCTAATCTAATTAGTTTTTCATATCACTGTATTGTGTAGGTTAAAATCGTAGACATATTCACACCCACGGAGAGGGTAATGAGCGATTCATGCGCACACACACAAACAGAAATGATAAATTAAAGGGGAAATGAGACCAGCATACTGAATGTTAAAGTCCTTGGTAAATCAAATTAAAACCCACTCCACTGTGCTCTCTCCTTGTATCCTTTTATAAATCACAATATGAAAACAAGACTGCAGTACAACAATTACTGAGTCTTCCCTTCACCTAAACGGAACCTTTTCAATCTACGCTCACTCAGTGATACCACACAATAAAGGTCACTTGAATGCATACTGGGAAATGCAGCTGGTATCCCAAAAGAAAACAAACTATATCTATAACATATCTGTGTCTTAGGGGTTGTGTTGTAAACACCCAACATATCTTAGTATTAATATCTTTATAAGGGAGCCATATATGGAGAAACTTATGCAGCGTAAAGTTTTAATTGAATTTTCATAACATACAGGCCTATGGCTTATTTTTGCTAACAATTCAAGTACCGTATCTATTAAGTTCTGGTATGATAAATTAAATTTCCAACTCATAATTACTACTTCGCTTATTAGGCCGATAGCATGTTACTTCCTAACGGTCTTGTAAAAATGAACTGATGGCTAATACATTAATGGCTGTAACTAACCGTATAATATAATGTCAGCAAACTAGATTGTTGAACAGGAGTTTGTCTCTATATTAAATCTGCTGAATTAATGAAATGTTAATGAAAGATGTAGCAATAATGTGGAAAATGTATGCAGGAGCTCAGCCCCTAAGCAAGAAAAAATACATCTAAATCTTGGTCAATCTAGTAACACAAAACATACAAAAAATGATTAAAGCGAGGGTAAGGAAGCTAGTGCAGTGAAGTGTTTGGTAGCCTGATGGTGATGTTTGTGGACCATGTAGCCATCAGCCAGTTTGTTATGTGGGTTCTGAATTTTGTAGAATAATGCATTAGTCTTTGGTAATAGGTAAGCTGTCCAACACAGAGTGTGCAACTTAGAACACCATGCTGTGTCTCTGAGATCCTTTGCTCACCTTACGTCGCCGATACAAATGTCAAACATCATTTTCACAGAGCAATTTCCTCAGCACCCATGGTGCATTCAGCGAACAAAAGTCTGTCTGCGATGCAGAAAACTACAATCATGCTGTGATCAGTAGAATATATTAAATGACTCACAACACCTTTTAAGTTGCCCAGGAGTACCAGAAAATTCTATTTTCCTTTGTAATTTAGGGCAGGACTTTACACGTTTGAGATCCTTAGTTTTTTTCCTTGATATTTTAATGATTATCACATTCTATTGCATTACACTGGCAGAAGTATTTTCCTTTAAACAAAGCTATAATATAAAGTATTTATTGAGTAATTTTGGACAACATGGCTTCAGTGCAAAATATTGTACCGTTAGAAGATGTTTTCACGATCTATGGTTTGTGGGCAAGAATCTGGCCTTTTTATGTACTTCTCCAAATTAAAACTATTATGATGTAAATAGAAGCAGGTGGTTTGTACTTTTGAATGTCATTCTTAGGAAAAAAAGAGGATGCCTTTTGTAAACACGGGGATACCCAGAAAAGGGTGAACATGGGCAGTGGTGGTTTAATGGTTGGGGAAGTGCACTTGTAATTGAAAGATTGCAGGTTCGAATCCCCAACCAGCAAGGCACCACTGGTACCCTGAGTAAGGTACCGCCCCCAAGCACTGCTCCCCGGGTGCTGAATTAGCTGTCCCCCAGCTATGTCACATATGGGTTAAATGCAGAGGACACATTTTGTTGTTTTGTGCTGTGGTGTGTCAACAATGACAACTAATCACTAAATTCTAAAAATGCTTTTCAAGCAGCTGCTTTCCATGCTCAGTCCCACTAAGTGTGACAGCCTACCAAGATATTCCCTCAGCAAATATAACAGTGACGTGAATGTGCACTGCAATACAGTATGTCAGGCTGTCCAAAGAACGACAGAGAATGGAGAGGTTTTCCCTAAAGGATGATATATAAATATTTAGTCGATTTTAGATTAATACAATTTTACGACCCTCTATACACCGAAATGACAATAACACAATTTAATGCTTCTATTCGTTTAGTCTGAAATCGCCGTTCTAAAACGCTGTGTAATCCACTTTACACTGTTCATATCTATAATTTGAGTGGAATACTGATAAAATAACTTCTCAAGCTGGTCCAGATTTACTTTAAAAGCCTCGCGTACATTACTGACATATTAAGTAACGGGATCCACCATACCCAAGCAGTTTTAACAGATGTGTATAACAGTATCTCAGTTGTGTTTTGCAGAATTCACGCGAAAGTGCTGCAGATGAGAGAACCACGTATAATTGGAGCAGCACCGTTAATTACGGCGCGTTGCCTAATGCCGCCCCTCCTCCGCCGTTTTACTGCCGCCAGTCGCTTTCCGCACCACCCAGCACTACAGCGCCCTGTCCACGCGCAAAACCAGTCAGGCAAAGCACGCATTTCTGTTATCAGACGAGATTCCGCGGGTTTGCAACCGCAAAGCAATTATTCGTGATGAGCAATTTAGCAGTTATACCTGTCTCGAAGATAACAGGTTTAATTTTCCGTACAGCGACACACTGCTTTTGGATTAACTTAACATAGACAATAGCTTCAAGTAGTGAAAGTGATTATTCAGAGACCACTGCAGTGCTCGATATAACTAACAAAATAAATGGCATATTGATGGTTTCAGAAGTATGAATGACAGGCCAAGAGTGTGAAGTGTAATTTAGCATTTGGGAAACAATAAGCATTGAGAATCTTGATAGGGTAGAACTGCAAGATACAAACGGACAAAATCTAAGAAAAAAATTTCCATTGAAAATGCATCGTTCCTTAAAATCAATCATACCGTTTCTTTTAATGCACACAAATTGATAGATAAAAATACACACAGCTTCAGACGCACACACCTCCCTGCCGTGCCTAGGGCGGTCTGCGGACCCACACGGTAAAGACACCACACTGTAGAAATGTGAATGAAAGCTTCTTCAGTTTGACTAGTGCGCCAAAGAGCTGAGGCTTATACTGTGCGCATCACTTTGGAGTCTCCATGCTGCCAATCAAACACAGTCGAAAACTGTTTAAGCACATGCATTTGAGTGTAAATTACCAGGTCTGTAGACACATTCTGTTGCGTGGTGGCGATCATTCTTGCTGCTTTAAATGAACGTTTTATCGCAACATGCAAACACGCGGCACTCCTCGTTTTCAGATCGAGATCTTTTGATACCCCCTTGCTCTTCGAACACTTCTGATGGTGAATCCCGCATCACAACCTTTGGGGCTCTCAGTTGCTCAACTAACAAACGCGAATCACTCGACTGGAAATACTTTAACACCCCCTACTCTCTCACTCCTGCGCTCTCTCTCCTTCTCTGTATATCTCGCTCTCTCACAATTTCATTCGTAACAAATACGTACACAAGAGATTCTAACTTACCCCGTCCTAGACGTGAGGTCAATAATATTGAATAGCTCCGGAATTAATTAAGACAACATTAGAGTCTGTAAATGCTTTCCTAAACACAGCTATCCCAAACGCAGTAATAACCATAACCTTTCCCTTATTATTCTTGTCATTTTAACCATTCCATTTTACATATGAAACAATACCTTTGAAGGTCCATTTCTTGGCACCTGTCTTAGGACCCCAAAGATACATCAGTTAATGTCAGTTGTCAAGAGAGATTTCACTAAGCCTGTTTTTACCCTCAGTTCACCTGGTTGTTTAAGGGTGTGCTGCCATTTTCTGGACGCAAATCATTCACTCATTTAATTGTCATTCATTAAACATCCTTCCGATTCCTTATAAGCAACGTGTTCAGATATAAAGATGCTTGTTCTTTATTTTTAATGGAGTGCCATCTGTACTGTGCATATGTTCGTGTTTCAATAAATATTGTCTTTAGATGAGTTACATTGGCTCATCACATACAGAACTGAGGTATCTATCTGTATTTCCATTTGCAGTGATACATGTTTGTTAATTTTCACATTACTTGTAGAAGCGTAATGCTAACATCTCATAAACTATATCAGTTATGAATCGATTATGATTGTTAATTTGCACTGGTTTTCAAACATGTTTTCCTAACTTGATACAATTATCTGCTTCAGTTATGTGGTCATAAGCAAAACAAATGTGATTCTGCAAGTCTGACATTTATTTCATGTGAATGGTTCACCTTGTGCATTTACTGAGGATCAGCAACTGAGGATCGAAAACAATCATTTATGCAAAACGTCAGTTATTTACTTAGGGGTAGCATTGATCTAACCCGATATTGATCTCATGTATAAATAAAAGTTTCACAACGTTGAGGAGGGCGGTGGACAGATTGGAAATAATGAGCTACTATAGCAAAGCTCATGGCATTCAGTTCTTTAATTGGTCTCATTCATTTGTCAAATTAAAATTATGTGTTTTTTTATACTTATAAACTTTCCCTGAAATATCCTTAAAATACTTTAAAATTGACTCTTTCAGCAAGCATCAATTTCCTTTAATGCTGGTGGTGCATGTATTTATTGAAATTTGAACAACTGCTACAACTTTTTCACTGATAATTAATGTATTTTTCAAGAAATACATAAATATTGTCTTTAGACAATGTCAGAAATATGGCCTGCACAACTGTTAAAATGTGAAATTCTGTACCTGGCCAAACATTATTATTGTAATTTTGTATTCCTCAAACTGCTTTAGACCCAGATAAATAAATACTTTGATATTTAAACAATACGAAATGTTCTTCGCAGTCAGAGAGCGATGACTCCCATCGGCAGATCCAACGCGTTTGTTGTGCTTTGTTTGAAAAGAGGGAGGGGAGTAAGCGATCTCTCCTGACTCCGCCCACACGTCCAGTGGCTTTCGTGCGTGATGACGACACGTGCGCTCCTTCCTATTGGCTGCCGGCTAAATTTGAAAGGTAACTGGGCTGTTTGTCTCTGGAAAGAAGGCGGCTGGGGTACAGTGTACGATTTACAGCAGTTTGGTGAAATTCAGAGATCTCTGTTCTGGACAGAGCTGAAGTTCTCGGTGCTGGGCTACCTCGTGCAATAGTGAGTAAAAAATATAGAGCGAAAATGTTGTGTTGCACGTGTAATTCTTTGAGTCGGTGTGTCTCACGGATCTGTTCTGTAACGTTTTAGCTGGTAGCGACTGAGTACAGTTTTGTTTGTTAGGTATTCTTTAGAGAACTAATTTAATTAAGTGTCAGTTTATTGTTTGGTATTAAACTGTAGTACATGAAGTCGATGTTTTGCCGTGTAGTTATAGGGTTGTAATCGTCCATTCGATACTTGTTACAGTAATGCCGAAAAAGGCATCCCTGCCGTAGAATGCATGTATGTCACTAAATGACCGATTGGTCGCTGATCTGAAACGAGTTGAGCTACTTTGTCGAGTTAGGCTACCGTTGTGCTAATCGATAGCCCTTATCCTAACACTAATCCCCCAATAAAACCCTAACCCCCCAATAAAAACCCTACACCCAAAAAAACCCCCTAAAAGCTCAACTCGTCAGAACACCGACATGCATTCTACGGCAGGGATGCCTTTTTCGGCCTGTAGCTTGGCTCTGTACAGCTTTTCTTTAGACACTGCTGTGTCGATTCTTCCTTGTGTTTGTGTTGCATCCTTTCTAAGCGAAATGCATCTTGGAGGAGTCCCTAAAACAACTGTAGGCTTGCAAAGCCTAGATTAATCTGTGGTAGCGATTCGCCATGTAATATTATAGCAGGGTTGCCAACTCTCACTCACCTGGCGTGACTCACGCTTACGCAAGCAATCTTACGGCAGACCTATATTATTACATTATAAACCTAAAATTGGCTATATCAAAATCATTGGGGGTTTTGCAAACCATACAGAGTATTTAAAAGGTAATTAAACTGTAACACATGTAAATGCGTGTGCAGGCTTTTCTCGAATTGAAAATCTCACTCCATCCAGCTGACCAAAGTTGGTAACCCTGGTTATAGTTATTTTTCCCCCGTGAATGTGCCCGGATCCACATTTGATACAGATGCTTAGCTGTCAGTTTTGTTTCAGGTCATGGACACTGCAGTGCTGACCTTACACAGCCTGCTTGAGAATCTGCGGGCACATGTGGAGGTCTTAAATGAGGGCGTTGAGCCTCGTAAGTCATTGTTCCGAATACTATTTCAGTGAGGCTTCTGTACCCATCTGACACACTAGTGTAAATTTCCATCCACGTTCCCTTTTTGCAGAGTTAATTCAGATGGCATTGAACTTTGAGGACTGTCGACGTAAATGGCTGAAACTAGAGCAGGACCTGGGTGCCTGCAAAGAGGTGCTGGCTAAAGCAGAGACTGAGAGGGGTGCTTTGGAGGTCAAACTCAAGCATGCTCGCAACCAAGTCGACGTGGAGATCAGACGCCGACAGAAAGCAGAAGCAGAGTGTGAAAAGTTGGTGGGTGCTTCTTTTATTTTGAGGTATCTTGCTTGTTCCTCGCAAGTCAAAGTAAACAATGTGTAACCTTTCTGCAGTCTTAACTTTATCCAGTTGCTTATATTGAAGCAGTTGTGAGTCCGTTTCTCAGGGTTATGACAACTTTTTCATGAACCTTGAAGCGGCAACTTCAGGTTGCATGTCTGCAATCTTGAATGCTGTCTCTCCTTTCATGTGAATGTCGTTTGCATTCCATTCATCAGTTGTACGGGTTAGGAAGGCTTAGGTCAGTCAGCCGGGTAAGGCAGCATCTAACGCCCCTGGAACATTTGGGGTTAAGGACACAATAGGGATGTTATCCCGCCCACTGCCGTGCATGTGTTATTCTGCAATAAACAGCCCTTAGGATGAATTTCTCAGGCTGTATACTGATGTACCTTGAGCTGAAATATGACTGGCTTGTTGAAGTAAAGGTTTCTGAATGAAAATGTTGATGCACAGGACCGCCAAATCCAGCTGATCAGAGAGCTGCTGATTACAGAGGGCTCCAGTAACAGCATCCAGCTGAATGAGGAGCAGCGCTCAGCTCTAGCCTTTCTCAATGCGCGCACGCAGGTGGCTGCCAACCTTAACGCCAGTCGGAGGTATGCCGTGATGCATGGCCACATGTTTGCAAGTCTATCCTGGTCTGTGGAAGGTTGGGAGGTGTGGTGATGTAATGATTTTTCTTTCTTTTACAGGTTAACCACCATTGATGAATCTGCCTCCATCTTGTCAGATATCAGCTATGATAAGACCGATGATTCTCTGGTAAACCTTTTTATTTCGTGAAAACATGGGGGGGGGGCAATTTCTATTGATATCTGTGTAAGTTATGTTTATTGCTTATTATACTGTTTTTGATTTTGTTGCAGGATTGGGATTCCTCGATTGTGAGGACAGTGCGCCTAAAGAAGCGAGAGAAGAGGGTAAGTGGTTTTTCAAGTCATGACTGGGCGGGTGAATCTGGCGACGTCTATGATACACCTTTATCGGTTTCAGCGTTCATCCCGGAATCACACAGACGGTCCTCCTTGTGCTGCGAAGAAGTCTCGCTCCACTGGCCGAACGTCAGACAAGGCACGTAAAGGGCCGTTTCTGGGGAAGCCTGCCGAAACGGCTGTAATATCAGTCAGGGCCTGTTTCATCTAATGCTGCCTTTTTCTTCCCCTCTAGGGGAATGAATCTATTGTGGCAAAGACTACAGTGACTGTTCCTGCTGATGGAGGACCAATCGAGGCAGTCTCCACTATAGAGGCCATTCCTTACTGGACGAGAAGCAGAAGAAAGACTGGTAAGGAGTCTGCGGTACTTTTTAGCCCTTGAGCGAGGGAATGCCTTAAAGATATAGGAAACTCCTAAGTGTTGATCGTGTTGCTGTCATTATCTTTATTTTGAATGATTTACTCTAAAGGTAGCACTATGGAAATAGTTTGGACTGATGGTTTGATCCTTTTTCCTGTTAAATTTATAACCATTGTGGATAAATTCTCAATGAATAGCATAAGCCAGTACATAGCTGAAGGGAAATTTAAAAAAAATTATAGCAACTTTATTTTCTATCCACCGTTCCTGCCGAGGGTCTCAATGGCAGCATTTTGTGCGGGTTAGACCAGACCTCTCTGTCCAAGGCACAGGACAGAAAGATATAGCAGAAAAGCAAAAAGATACATTAATGCATGAAATGTTAGTGGTACAAAACTAATCCCATTTGCTCAAATTTTTTTCTCCACTGCTTCTGTTTCTTACCTGCATTTCCACGTTACTACCAAGATAAAGCTTGTCAGTCGGAAAGTTTATCGCTGTGAGGGACTAAAAACAGAGTAGGGACTAAAAAGGATCTGGAACTGCCTCCGAGGAACTACATTTGGACCAAGTTCCTGTGTAGTGAATATGACAAAAGTTCCTGGTTCCTGAAAAGTTCCTGTGGTGTGAAACAGTCCTGTATCTGTCTCAGGATCTGTGAATTCCTCACCCTTTCTTAATGTGTTCAAAAAATTTGTTGGCTACTTGTACCTCCTTTAGGTCATTACCCATAACTCATGGTTATCTGTGAAGATGGGGGCTTGCATTAACTAAATCATGAGTATCACCACCACAGATTTGCTTTGTGCCTACAAAATTGTAGCCTCTTGAGCTGATCTGCCTGTCAGTCCTGCATTCCCTCTTACCCTCAGTGTCACTAGCTCCATATACAAGATGTCCTTTTGCTTTGGGCAGCCTTCTTTCCAGTACCTTGGAATACGCTTTCCCAGGGAGGCCCAGAAATCTAACCCCCTCTATAGTTAGAACGTATATCTCTATAGAGGTACTATATTTGCCATCCCTGCAACATTGAAGAGCGATATCACTCCAACATCATCTCTGGATGGATTTCTTCTGCTGCTGCAACCTTTCCATCAGACATCTCAGACCACCCCAGGGACTTCACCTGAAATGATATAGATTCACCAGAAATGATCAACACCGTCTTTACCAGGTGGTGGAGTTCCTCAGATGCCCTTTCCACTGCTTGGTAATATCCCCAGAGTTGGTTAACACTTCCCTATTTGGGCTGGACCTACCCTGAGACATTGGATGGTTTGCCAAAACAATTTTAGGGCCTCTAAGAACCCCTGCAATACAGGACATTTGGCATCTGACTTCCTCTGCTGCAGCTTTTCAGTGCCTTTTTGGATCTCTCAGGAGACCTCTGCAGTGTCTTGAAGGCCACGAGTCCATGCAGTGCGCCTGTTGGCCATAGCTTTTTGCAGATGCAGCAGTAATTGAGGCCTTGAATGTGGTCCATTCTCTGTCTCAATCAATCAATAATTTATTTATATAGTGCTTTATGACACAAAAACTGACCAAGGTACTTCACAGTCAAAAATAAAATATAAAAGTAGGAGATAAATTAAAACTGACTGAAATAATACAAAGTACGGTTCTGTCTCTATCCCCAGTCGCACTCTGCATAAATAAAGTTTTATTCTGGAACTGAGAGTTAATTTCATATGGAAGCTTTAGTCTGATGTTCCCGGGAAACCTTCATTACCTGTCTATTTTGCCACCTTGTCCACTGAATAAATTCACCACCAACTGGTCATCAACTTAACTCTTTCTTCACCCAGCTGTCCAAAATATGTGGCCTTAAGTCTGACCCAACTATAAAGTCAATCATTCACCTTTGGCCTGGAGTGCTCTGGCACCTTGATTGATATTTGTAAACATTATGTTTGAACGTAGTAATATGGATAATCCATATCTTGCACAGAAGTCTAACATTTCAGTGCTCAGGTTTAGATATGGAAGACCTTTTCTTCTTCATCCTGCTCCTCTATTCTTCAACGCATGAGCCTTGAGGTCCTGGAGGACCATAGAAGTTATCGATTGTATCTTTTCAGCGCCTTGCCCACTTTCTCTAAGAAATGGGGCTCCTACACAGTGGAAAAGTGTGGAATTTGATTTTGGTGTTTTTCCGTTCTGGGTGTGGAAGAGGGGAAAAGTTTGGAAATAGACTATTGCAAAAATTGGCCTACTTTTTGTATAAAAAAAAATCCAAATTTACTTATTTTGATGAAATTCCCACTGTTGGTTAGTAACTCCAGAATGTGTACAGAGCACACATTGTTACACCAACATTACAAGCCAAGGAATGGTGTCTGTGGTATGCATGCTTGAGTAAGAAATATTGATATACACTGATCAGCCATAACCTTAAAACCACTGAAGGGTGAAGTGAATAACATTGATTATCTCATTACAATAGCACCTCTCAAGGATGCTGATATATACCATGCCTTTGTTTCTCAAACCCGCCCTCTGGGTCCCCCATGTGGTTAAGTTTTTGGTCCCTCCCCATTCCCAGGAAATTGGACCGTCTGTGGATCCCCCAGCACCGGTTCGAGAAACACTTTATTTGGAAAGTGGACAGTCATTTCTTAAAGTTAATGGGCATACATAAGGATATGAGCAACTTTGACAAGGCTTGAATGCCTAGGCGACTGGGTCAGAGCCTGTCCAGAAGGGCAGGTATTGTGACTGGCCGGTTAAGGATCCCAAATGTGAGCGGAAAGCAAAAGGCCAAGCATGCAAAATTGTTCAGCTTTTCAAGCAGAAGCAACTAACTGATCCTGGCAAGGGCAAGACTGCCCCTATAAACCCCCTATCCCCCCTCCCCCAGACATACACAAACACGCATTTTAAAATTGAAAGTCTGGTAAGTGTGTAGAAACCCTTTAGGAAGGCGATTCACTCTGAACTGCGGTATGATGTGTACATAGTTTCCCACTAAGCAGCATAGAGGAAACTCCTGCTATCCCCACTCCTGCCTGAGGTCTTCCTCTGGGGAACTCCAGGGTAGCAGATACGGAGATCCTGAACCACACAGCCCCCTCTACCATGTTAAGGTCACAACCCTGAGATGGGATTTTTGTAGCATTTAAATACCAACCAGACTGAACTTTTTGTTTTATTTTATTTTTTTTTAAGGTGTTCAAGGTTGGGACACAGATTCTGTTAAGTCTGAAGATGTGTTCAAGGCCCCGACCGTCCCTGAGAAGGAGGCACGAGTTGAACCTGGGACGCCTCAAGGCAACGGTGGGGTTCGTCTCCATGAGTTCATCTCCAAAACGGTATGTTCCACCATTTAAAGTTGAAATACCAGCAGATTCTTTGATCAAGAATATACTGCTCTATTGTAAGCCTTAATCTAACCACGAGTTCTTTTCCCCATTAGTTTGAAAGACTTTGATGTACTTTTTTGTGTAATTTGAGGATGGGATACTTTGCGATACCACAATGGAAAATGATCCAAACAGTAGTTCTTGGAAATTCTACTTTTTATTTAAATGTGTCCTCCTTTAATAAATTGATATACACTATATGGACAAATGTATTGGGGTACACCTCTTAATCACTGAATTCAGGTTTCACTCAGACCCATTGCTACGGGTATATAAAGTCAAGCACATGGTCATCCAGTTGGATTTACAAACATTTGTGAAAGAATGGGTGATTCGGAATAGCTCCGTGATTTCAAGAGCGGTACTATCATAGGATGCCAGCTTCACAATAAATCAGTTCGTGAAATTTTCTTCCCTGCTAGATATTCCACAATCAACTGTAAGTGGGATTATTTAAAAGTAGAAGAACTTGAGAACAACAAACTCAGCCAGAAAGTGTCAGACCTCATAGTAACAGCAGGGTTGCATAGTGCCCAAGTCATCAACGCTGTGTTGACTCAGTAACAGCAGGGTTTCAAACTTCTGGCCTTAACTCCAGCAAAAAAAACTGCGCCGGGAGCTTCATAGAATGGGCTTCCATAGCCAAGCAGCTGCATGCAAGCTTCGTATCGCTAAGCACAATGCGAATTGTTGGATGGAGTGGCGTAAGGCACACTGCGACTGGACTCTGGATCAGTGGAAACCTGTTCTGGGCAGTGACAAATCACCCTTCTCTGTGGAAGTCTGATGGATGAGTCTGGGTTTGGTGGATGCTAGGAGAACATTACCTTCCTGACTGCATTGTGCCAACTGTAAAGTTTGTTGGAGGAGGGATAATGGTATGGGGTTGTCTTTCAAGGGTTGGGCTAGGCCCCTTAGTTCCAGTGAAATCTTAATGCTTCAGCATGCCAAGACATTTTGGACAGTTCTATGCTTCCAACTTTGTGGGAATAGTTGGGGGAAACCATTTTCTGTTCCAGCACGACTGTGCCCCATTGCACAAAGAAAGGTCCATGAAGACATGGTTGGGTGAGTTTTTTGTGGAAGTACTTGAGTGGCCCTCACAGAGCCCTGACCTCAAACCCATCTAACACCTTTGGGATGAACTAGAATGGAGATTACGAGTCAGGCCTTCATGTCCAACATCAGTGCCTGACTTCACAAAGGGTTGTTTGGATGAATGGACAACAGTTCCTACAGACACACTCCCAAATTTTGTGGAAAGCCTTCACAGAAGAGTGGCAGCTGCTATAGCTGCAAGTGGGGGACCAACTCCATATTAATGCCTATGGATTTAGAATGGGGGGGGTCATAAAAGTTCCTGTAGGTCTAATGGCCAGGTGACCCAATACCTTTGTCCATGAAGTGTATTTGTACACTTGGAACTCCTACAAACCTTGAGAGTGAGTCCTTACTGATATTCCTTCAGTATTCCATTCAAATTCATGTCACTGTCACTGAAGCATATTGGAGTTCTGGCTTCTCTGTAGAGCAATGATTTGTTCATTTTTCTGAATATAAGCAATATAATTGTATTTACACAAATACAATTATTGTAAATGTTTCCAAATAACTGCAATGAAATAATTGTTGCCACTCTATACAAATTGCCAACGGGGAAATACATTATTGCAGTTTTATTGTAGTTCAGTGTTACTATATGGCATACCCATTTTTCCATTATGGTACCGAATTGCCATATGGCAACATCCATATTTTCTCAATTTACTGTTAAACTACCTTAGTTGATTTGTGAACATCAACATCTATTTAACTTGCCAAATATGCACATAAATGTACAGGAATCCGTATAGGAATCTACTGCCTTCTGTCTAAGGGATACCGTAGGAAAGAGTCAATGAGGCAAATTCCAATGTCGTGACTTGTCAAGCGCCACATAATTGGTTATCTTAAGGCCTATCTTTTTAATTCCAACAATTCAATGTTTCTTTTCTGGATAATGAGCGATGAGTGAAGAGATGTTGCCGAATGGCAACACCATACCAGAGGGGTTTGTGTATTTACTGGCCACCTAGGAGCTGATTCGCTCATCAGGCATTTAAGTCAAGAAATGTGCATTTTGAGTTAAACATCATCTTCCCTCCTCAGCGCGAGAACTCGCTGCACTTAACCTAAAAAAGGAGGCATGGTGGTGCAAGAGTTAGAGGGTTACATCCTCTGATTTTGGTGACAAGCGAAACACAGAACATCGTCTATTTCGCGTACATTCCAAGCATTATTGAAATCCGCAGTGTTTTATTGTGCAAATGAAGGCATGGCAGTAGCTTACTACACTTATTTGGTCATTCTCACGGATATACAGAAGAGGATTAGGGTCACCAATCTCACCATGAAGGTATTATTTGAATTCTGACTTTAATCTCAGAATTCTGAGGGGAAAAAAGAGTCAGAATTCAAATAATATTTTCATGGTGACTCTAATCCTCTTCCGTACGGAAAAACCCATACATCTTGTGGGTGTAGAATGGTTAAGTTAGGTGAGTGTCCTGGTCAGGTACAGAAACGCTTCAGCACATCAAAACAATGGGGGAGTATTCTGGTTGCCTGGCTGTCCCACTCTCTCATGTGCACCATGCATTCACCGTGGCTTTTGAACCTTTTTTTTTCCCTTTTCATTAATTCAATTGAAATTATTTTTTTTTGTTACCCACTCACTGAGCTTGATTCACCTTACTAGGTGTGGTGACAAGGCAGATATAACTTGAACTCTGTGTAACAGTAATATACTTTGTGTATTAAAAATTTCTATATACTATTGCGTTATACCATTCTTATATACTTATAGGAATTATTCACATCCATTTTGGCTTGTAGCATTTGTTTTTAAATGTTACTCATTAGAAAGTTTTATTACACGTTCAGCTTTCCGAAGACTGCAGTATTACATTTGACCATGTAGAGGTGCGTGACTTGATACAGCCCCCCAGAGCACATAGTGAAGCATGCACTTAAGTCAGTGGCAGAATGTGCTTAAGCGTCATTTATTTGTGACACACCCATGTTTTGGTGCTTTCGTGTGTCTAGCATAAGCGCACTTAAATCCCACACTTAAGTCAATGGGAGAATACGCTTAAGTCAAAACAGCATGTGGCTATGTGGTATTCTGACTTCAGCGCATGGGAGAATCGACCTCTTATTGTGCTGTGACCTTTCTAATTAGTGTCATTCTTATGGTTACAAGAGATGCCTTCCTTCTTGTGTTTAGGTAATCAAGCCTGAATCTTGTGTGCCTTGTGGAAAGAGGATCAAGTTTGGGAAAATCTCTCTGAAGTGTCGAGATTGCAGAGTGGTGACTCACCCAGAGTGCCGAGAGCGATGTCCCCTGCCATGCATCCCCAGCCTGGGAGGCACTCCAGTCAAGATCGGAGAGGTGCGGGACGTTCACATTCGTGTTTAAAAATTATTAATTCCTTCCCCCCCAAGGATGTGTGTCTTTCCATTTAATCTGGTTTAGCTTTTCAAAATTGACTTTTGCTTACAGGGGACTCTTGCAGACTATGTCCCTGGTACCTCTCCCATGATTCCATCCTTGGTGGTCCACTGTGTCAATGAGATTGAACAGAGGGGCTTGCATGAGGTAAGTGATGTTTCCCAGTCTGTTACCCTCAGTGCTGTTTTAGACCATAAATCTGGTGCTATGGCTCAGATACTGCATCCTGTCTACGCTCTGACCCTTACATATCCAGTACAGCTTGTGCAAACTTGAAAATCAAGATTCTTTTATTAGGTGGATTAGAATGCAGTTTAACCAGGGATTAATCTCCCCCATTTAAATTTACTGAAGCATCCTATAAAAGCTGCACTTGATGGGCAGATTACTGTGTCCTGTTTTGATTACCATCGTCCTATTTTGTAGACTGGACTGTACAGGCTCTCAGGTGTGGACCGGACAGTAAAGGAGCTAAAGGAGAAGTTCCTGAGGGGGAAGACTGTCCCGGTGCTCAGCAAAGTGGAGGACATTCATGCCATCTGTGGTGTTCTCAAGGACTTCTTGAGGAACCTCAAAGAGCCTCTGCTCACCTTCCGCCTCAATCGGGCTTTTATGGAAGCAGCAGGTGGGTTTGAGTCAGCTGCTTGGGTTTTGGTTGAGATTTTTGTGCAGCCTTTTGGAAGATTCATCTTAATGTGTGCACTATGTGGATTCTAAGGTATGTATCTGTACTTTGATGCAGAAACCACAGATGACGACAATAGTATTGCTCTGATGTACCAAACGATCAGTGATTTGCCCCAAGCTAACAGAGATACACTGGCCTTCCTTATGATTCATCTCCAGAGGTAGGTCGGCTTAAGTAGTATATTGCTTTGAAAAAGAAGGAAAAATATACCGGGTGGCTATGAAGTCTTCAAGATATTTAGACCTGAACCTTTAGTTATGCTTTTATTCCATCTTTCAGTCCCACCAGGAAATACGACAGCCTAGTTCTTCAGTCACTGATAGATTTGATTTTTGTTGCACTTTACTGTCCTCAGATCCACTGTAAAACTGTTGAGATACATAAGTGTACAGAGTAGACGCACTCATCACACATATACATCGTAGAAACCAAAATATAAATAAGCATCAGAGTAAATGAGCATAACTTGTTGGCTGCTCATAACCAAGAGGGAATCAGTCCACTTGAAGAAATATCAGATCTCCAAAACTGGTAATGTAACATCACTTTAAACCCTTAAGAAGACTATGAACTTCTCCCACTTGCGTCTCCCCAGCAGAGAAACATTGTGTACTTGCACAACACAGAATGCAACATCTCCGACAGTGTTAGTACATTAATATCAAAGAATGATGAGTATTTATGGCAGCTCAACTGTCCGTCCCTAGATGAAGGGCAGATCTTGGTATCCTTTTTATTTGAACTTTCAGAGTTTCTCAGAGTCCAGATACCAAGATGGATGTTTTTAATTTGGCACGAGTGTTTGGTCCCACCATTGTTGGACATGCGGTACCGGACCCAGATCCAATGACAATTCTACAGGATACAAAACGGCAACCAAAGGTATGAGCAGATTCTTCATGGAGTTGTTCTGTTCTTTCTTTTAAATATTAACATCAATATTTGCTTTCTTATGCCCCTTTTTAAACAAATATTTAGTTCACCAGGCTCCTTCTCAAACCAATTTAATATTCCATCAAGACGCTCCAAACTTGTTTTAATATCTCTGGTAAACTGGGTTTAACTTGATAGGTGGTTGAGCGCCTTCTAGGTTTGCCTGTGGAGTACTGGACCCAGTTCGTGATGGTGGTTCTTGAGCAGGCCAACCCAGATCACATGATCATTGAGAACGCTAATTGCTATGCCACCCCTGAAAACAAAGGTGAGACCTGTTGATTGTATACAATGCAACTATTGGCTCATGTTCTTAATACTGATATGTAATCAATGAAGTGAAATTTGTAACCTTTGAGGGTTGTGCTAGAATTAATTTATTCTAAATGTACGGTGGGAAGGATTTAAATTCACCAAAGAATGTCTTCAGGGAGCTTTACAAAACTTTATAATGGTTGTGAAAGATATTTATATATGTTTGTGTAGGGAGTGATGTGCAACTCCCGATTTGTCAATGATTAACACATTCCTGTGGCCGTTTGGTTGCTTGCTTTTTCCAGTGAGCATGTTGGGGCCTTTGACCACTCCAGAGCACCAGATGAGCAAAACACCATCTTCCAGCTCCTTGTCTCAACGCATGAAGTCTACTCTGAGCAGGACCACACCCAGGTAACCATCTTAATTATTGCTTTGAGTATGATTTTTATAGACTAAAGGAGGGATGAATTGGTGGAGTAGACTGATACTTGTAGGCAGTTCCAGTCAATGCAGAGAAACTTTGACCATTTTACCTCATGTCTCTGTTAATATTTAATTTTTATGGGCTCAATCATTTAGTCCTTTTTCTTTTTTTCTTTTAACTGTCCCTCCCTAAGAGCTCCATATGCCGTTCCTTCTGCTTGTTGAACACATCTTCCATTCACAGGTTCGGAAGCAAGAGCAAGTCTTCTCTGGCTGTTGGGCGTCAGGGCAACTTCTTTGCTTCTCCTCTTCTGAAGTAGTAGCCTGCGCACTTCACACAGGGAACTGTGGCAATATTGCAGTGCTTTTATATGTATCATTTATATGTTATCTTACTAAGTGATTCTTTGGCGCAACTTTTTATCTTTGTTATTTTAATTTGCATTGTAATGGACTTTAATTGTCTATTGGTTTTATTTTACTACAAAGGGAAATGTGCTATAGCCCTTTCCTGTTTATATACCCTACGCATTTATGTATCTTTTTAGATTGTCCCATTTTCCTCATCTAAATATCATGTTTCATCAGCTTTTGGGAACTGTACACCTGTCTTGATTCCACATGTGCTTCCACTTAATCACCTCTCAGGCATACTGTGCAGACACTAATTAGGGGAAGATTGTGTCAAATGTTTTGCTCTTGAAATGGAAAAAACAGATTGGGGAAAATATGTACTTATGCTTTAATTTTGTTGGATTTAGAGGGACTTTTGCTGTGCATCTGTTCCCTTTGGCTTTATTTGATCTACAACAGCAGAATCCTGTTTTTATGTTGTGCTACTCCAGTTTCTGATTAGTGCTACAATGACACATCCCAGCTCATCTTTCAGATGCATGACAGTTTTACTGCTATTCTCAAATGTTAGTTCATGAGTCATGTGAATTTGTACTAAGTGTTGGGATAATCCACCCAGTTCTGGTTGGAAATGAACTTAAGCCTGCAAGTATGTGGCAGGACTGAGCTGTCATTTTATTCATTTGCCAGTTTTTGTATTTTATATGCAGTGTTTGCAGTCTCTTTTTGAACTAATCCTTTTTGTAAATGAATGGTGGATATACACTCCAGTGGTCTTTATCCTCACAAAAAGCCAATTAATATATTACACTGCCATAAAAGGACTAATTTCATATGCTAGTGTTTTGAGTCTTGACCTCACTGTATTTTTACCATGCTACAACAGCTGAAATGGTTTATTGTGACACATCTCGCTTTAAAAAGAAGTGCCTACATTTGTGCTGTCAGGCACACTGCAGGACTTTGGACACTTTTTCACTGAAATACAATCTACGTTTATAACATGCTTGTGTGTGTGTGGTGTTTTTTTTCCCCCATAACATCCCCATATATTTTACAAAAAGCTTGCCATGGTAATGCGCAAAGACGAAATGTGTTAATCTTTATTTAAATTACTCCTAATTGGGGAAAAATGTCCAGAATTAACTTTGACCAAATTCATAATGATCACCAGAGCTTGGAATAAGGCCAGAGAAGAGGAGTATTCTTGATGTAGTTCTGAAAGGCTGGTTCAGACCCCCATTTCGACAGTGCCTGCTTCTCCAGGATGGGGATCCCGCTAACATGCCGCAAAAGGAACCAGACAAAGAGTGGAGATATCACGCTGAGGTACTGGGCCCCCCGCATCACAGAGGCGGCAGACACGAAGAGCCCCGACCACTGCAGGATCTCGCCCAGATAGTTTGGGTGCCGGCTGTATGCCCACAGGCCACTCTGGATGAACCTTCCCTGATGAGGGCATGATGATGAATAAAGAAAAGTCAATAGAGGGACCGATGACCTGCCTCTGGTCACACAACATTGGTTTGGGCCTGAGAAAATGTTCCCTGTTAGCAGAAGTGGTTTATTATGGAAAGGGAGGGGCCTGCTTCAAGAAGATTAATATGAATTGCTCTAGAAAGTCCCCTTCCCCCTCCCGTCCCAAGATAACAGGACACCTACTTTATTGTCAGGGTTGTTCCTGAAATTCCATTTCTGCTGATCAGCGACTGCTTCTATGACAAACCCAAGGCCCCACATCCCCCAGCCGACGTAGTCCTGTGCGCCCAGGGGCTTGTCACGACGCTCGCCATTGAGAACCAGAGTGGGCAGGAGCGTCACAAAAATCCACAGAGCTGGGGGGTGGGGAGAGGAGTATTAATTTCAGTGCGGATTGCAGATGAATGAGTAAGCTGTGTAGGTAACTCCAGACCATACCTTGCATGGTCCAGTATATGAAAAAGGTTCCTGGGTTGTCTCTGACGTCGTTAAACCGGCGATCTTGGCCCTCCTTCAATATACGCATGAAAAGGAAAGTGCCCAATCTGCGGAACAGCATTTGAAGGGCAACAAGCAAGATAAAAGTCTCGGGTCTGTTAATCATTTATGGCGTTAAACCATTTCAGCTAGCTAGAAGGGCTATTTAAAAACAAGATGACCTTTTTTAAAAAAAAACTTAATTGTGTGCTTCAAGGGCTAGGGACAAGGGACAAGGGAAATGCACAGGCGCTGCAATGGGCTGCTCACCGTAAGCCCCACGCGGTCACAAGGCCAGTCTGAACGCTTTGGCGCACGTGCCTCCTTCCACCCCATGTGTGACTCAGGTGAACCAGGAGTATGAATGTTCCAGAACCTGCAAACACACAACCTGAGGTCTAGGTGAGGTGAAAGGCAAACTCTTTCCGTTATGTGGGTGGGGCGGTACGAGACTCGGCATGCCTTGCACAGTGCTGTATGCTACCTGGAAGTCCTAGGCATCTCAGGGAATATACTGGCTAAGGAATAACCAGCTACCTATCAAAGGTCAAGGGGCAGCTTCACAGAGCAGAGACCAGAAGAGGACTAACAAGGAGAGATGGAAGGTAATCTGTTTTTTTAATAGACTGAATACAATGCATACTTTTGTAAAAGAGAAAATTATTACGGGATAACACTCAATACATTTTGAGGTCAGCGGGTAATACCATAAACAGCGGTCTAAGTTTTAAATCAATTATTCATATCTAGTTGCCATCTGGAAAGAAATACAGATTTCTTATATAGAAATATACATTTTTATTTTATACACTGGTCAATTTAAAATAATTCATCACCATCAAAACGTGGACAAAAAGTTATTCTAATTCGTTTTAACCTTTTGGATCCACCACCGTTGAACATACGGCATCGGTAGAATACTCCCGGTCTCGGAGTTTGTCGTTTTCCTGTAAAAGTTTCACTGTTTTGTAAGGAGTATAGCGCAGGGTCATCAACAGGGCTGGAAACTGCGCGAGCCGGCCGACGTGAGATTTTCAATTCGAGCCAAGTCTGCACACGCATTTACATGTATGTAGCAGTTTTATTACCTTGTAAATAGTCTGTAGGACCCCAACACTTTTGATTTAGGTAATTTTAGGTTTATAATGGAATAATACAGATTTGCCTGAGAATTGGCAACCTTGTATCAACAACTGTCATTTATGTAACGTACCAATTTAGGTAGATCTTATAGCTTTGCTAAAGCTGCACAACTTAGTTAAACATTCGTACAAAATATAAAGTTAAGCACTTCAAATTAAATCCACAACTAATACTAAGGGGGAACTTACAATGCTCGCCGGGGACTTGAACCTATAGCAGTTTGATTACCTGCTAAATCGTAGAACTTCTCCGTTTTAAAAGCTGCTGCTGCAGCCCAGCAGAGCCACTGAAGCGCCAGGTCTGCGGCGGCACATCGCACCAAAACGCCCCCCATGCAGACGCTGGCAGGACGCGCACGAGCCCGAAGCCCCCCGTGTATAGCTGAGCTGTACGTGTTTGCACTTCCTGGCGAAACGAAACCCTACCCCCGCCATGACTTGTTGGAGTTGTAGTGTTTTATTTATTGCATACCAGAAAACATTTAAGGTGTCTCAGTTATTTACGTGTTTCTGATGCGAGCAGAGATTAAGCAAAACAGCGTCCGGTTTTATCTATGAACCGAACCTGTACCTTGTGATGATGAAGAGCTAATGCACAGGGGAAAAACAGCTAACATGATCAGAGATGCCAGCTTTGGTCAAGTTATTGGCGTGAGATTTTCAATACGAGACACGTCTGCACACACATACCCGCCCATTTACATGTATGTAAGAGTTTTGTTACCTCGTAAATAGTCTGTAGGGTGTACAAAAACCCCAACGCCTCTGATGTAGCTAACTGTAGGTTTATGATGGAATAATGTAGATTTACTGTAAGATTTCTTGCATGACCGTGAGTCTGAAGGCGAGGGTTACGCCAGATGGATGCCAGTTGGCAGCCCTGCGTTATGAGAACCACTGCGTACGTGGGAACCAGTTACTAACCAGTTGTGTTGAAACAACCGTTATGCATCGTTATGAGAAACACCCAAAGCTACAAATACACAATGTACATATCCGTAAAAGAATTACCGATTAAACGGAATAGTTACATACACCCTTGTATGAAGCAATTATTTTACTGAACTTTAAATTTAACAAGAGCGTGTTTACAATGGTCATTTCCTTTGGACTAGTGAATTTGTAATTCTAATTTGTTATTGAATATGCTTACACCATATAACATATTTGCTGTATTAAGCAAATTCCACGTTCCATAGCAAGACGTTTGGCATAATCCATTGCTTCATGATAATCACTTAATTCAATACAAGGAAATGGGACACCCTACACAGAATGCTACTTCAATGCAAGGTACACACATTAAGAGGTCACTTTACCTAACTGCATGTATGTACTGGCAGAGGCAACACAGAAACACACACAGCAGTGCATGGATTCAAACCCCAATTTGTGGAGTGTGAGGTAACAGCACATTACCCACAATGCACGATTCCTAAAACTCCAAATACATGGACAGCTGAAGTACCACTCAACATAACTGGAGCTAAAAGAAAGTTATTATTAAAATATTTAAGTAAGGGTTTGCATTTTAAGTAATCAATCATTTAAGTAATCATTTATAAATAAAATAATAAGTACTGTAACTAATCAGTAGCTTTATTTGCATGAGTAGGGATACATGCAGCTAAGGTCACTGCTGATCTGTCCCACCCAAGCAGCCATGTATTCCAAAGAATGCCTTCTGGCAAATTCTTTTCCCTATATTTAATGTATAACGTCATTTATTTGGGAGGCAGCACGGTGGTGCAGTATCTAGCACTGCTGCCTCACCCCTTTCCAGTCTCCGCCATGACACCTTGTGTGTGGAGTCTGCATGTTCTCCGCATGTCATTGTGGGCTTTCGTCCTGGTACTCCGGTTTCCCCCGCAGTCCTACAACACGTTGAGTTTAATTAGAGTTACCAAATTGTCCATGTGTGTGTGACTGGGGTGTCTGTGCCCTGCGATGGGTTGGTGCCCCATCCTGGTTTGTTTCCTGTCTTGGACCCGTAGCTTCCAGGATAGGCTCCAGACCCCCCCACCACCCTGAATAGGACAAGCAGTCACAGATAATGGATTGATGGCATTATTTTTTTATATATATTTGAAAACCTGGTTCTAATTAATACTTAAAATTGCACTTATAGTTGTACTTGTACACATTGCACATTTTATAAATACTGATTCATTGACTGTCCTGTACTGATTAACATTATTGCTTATATTTAAATCTACTCTATTTTATTTTATGATTTCTCTTCATGTTCTATGTTGTCTGTGAATGCATGCACAAATACTACCGGGTCAAATTCCTAGTGCATGCAGGTGTACCTGGCCATTAAAGTGAATTCTGATTCAGATTTAACACTACTGAGGAATATTTTTGTTTTCAAACCTTGCTGATCGCAAGAAGCACAAAACACAGCCCAGGCTCGGCAGGACATAAAGCCCAAAGAGAAGGAAGATGAGGAAGATGAGGAGGAGGCAGCAGAATCCATGGCAACCACTGGCAGTCCTGGAAGCGCCGGAGTGTTTGCGAAGCGGCTGCAGAGGCAGTTCAGCCGGGCTCAGGAGAAGGTAGGTTTATCTCCCACTACAGGGTCAGCTTGTCTGCAGCTGAGCTACATATGCTGGCAGTACCTGGGCTTATGCCCAATCCCTGCTGCTTCCTCCCCAAACAGAGGTTAACGTGTTGCATCTGAGAATACTGCTGCAACCCTGCTTATGCCTTTGGCCTACGGAGAAGTCCTATTATTTCTATTTCATTTTAATGATGCAGGAATAAACCTCCCATTGAGCTGCATACAGAATTGAAGAAGAGATAAGCTAAATTGCCAGAAGTGCTCTGGAGTTAATTTTCTAAGGTTTTTATAATAACATTTGTGGAGCCATGGGGTTCAAAATCATCAGCCGTCTATATATATATATATATATAGAGAGAGAGAGAGAGAGAGAGAGAGAGAGACATACACACACACACACATAAATTCCTAGCTGGACATTACTCATTTGGTAGCCGTGCATTTTTCTGAGAAGTAATGATGTGTGGGCTAGATAGGCATTCCCCCATTAAAACTGATCCGAAACAATAGTGCCCGCAGTGAACTGGTTGATTAAAGTTACCTTGATAAGGGTCAGCAGCTCCCCCAGAGTGTTCTGGTTAAACATTTGCCATGTCCTCTCAATGCAAAGGTCCTGTATGTTGTTTTGTTTTGCTGTAATAAATTAGTGCTGCAGCAAAGTTCTGTGGCACTGCCACAACACCAGAGATGGATAGTTCAGATCCAGAAAGTAAAAATCCGGACCAAGATTTTGTTTCAACCAACCAGTTGTTGGCTGGATGAGCACAGCACCACTAGACCAAAAACACAGAGTTTACTCCCCAACAAAACTGTGGCTGCTGCTGTTTCCTGTTCTTGTCCTTGTGTGTTAAGGTTTGTTTCTCTATGAAACACTGAGCGGACGTCAGTAACCTTGGCAGTTTCGTTGTAACACCTTAAGATGTTACATTAAGGTCTTTGCATGCACTTTGCACATCACCCCTTTTCCTTAGGAAATGCTTCTACTATACTTATAATATGTTGTTGTAGACTGACTGCCAGCTTCAGCTACTGGAAAAGTGAAAGTGACAGGTTTATTCATGGGTGTAAATTATGGGGGGGCATTGTAACCCCCCCTACCCCCCCAACAATGAAAACCAGCCAATGCATCTCCCTGGACACCCTTAAATGGGTGGAGACCTAAAAGTTATGCCCTTGGCTTTATTGGCACATTAGTCATATTAATATCCATTCCTGAGGCAAACTAATGCTCTGATTTTAGCAGGGCTGCCCGCAACAGAAAAGTCTTACCCTAGTTTGCATGGCTGTATAAATGTAGAGGAGGCACAATTAACAAACCTTGAACGTATCTGTATAGCTGCCTGTGAATTACATCAACATGAGTGATAAAATTAGACCATAATTTTCACATGCATAAATCCAAGCTATTCCTTCTGGCTCTTTCAAGTATTTTACAGAGTATGAGTCCATAATTGGTTTTTTCCCAGCAGTATAATTTTAATACCTGCCTAAAATGCCACTGTGGGATTGTTTTTTGATCGCTGTATCTTTGATACTGAGTTCATAAGGAAACAACAGCTTGATTCTTGCCTACGGATGTGTGACTGGATTTCAGGTCTTACAGAAGCTGGGGAAGTCAGAAGAAACCAAGGATAAGCACTTCGACCTGTGCTGCCAGAACCTGAACAAACAGCAGGTTAGATGGTGGCCTGGTCTCACTTTTTACATGCCGTTGACATTTTACATGCTCTTAGTACGAGAATAAACCCTGAGGAGTAGAACAGTTGTACAGAATGTACAGAAGGTGATGTTTCCCACATGCCGGGGTATGTTAACTATTATGTCCATAGCAGGGCTGTACCTAGAAATTCCGGCCCCCCTGGCAAACTGTGAGCTTGCCCCCCCCCCCATCCGCTCAATATTACATATAATTTTACATATTCAAGGCTGCCTGAATCTTCCAGGGTATCCAGGATACCGACAACCCTGGTCCATGATCACAGAGATGACTGATTGCATGAGATTCAAAGAGGCCTTTTCCATATGGCCTGATATTACAATGAAATGCATCTGCAAATACTGCGCTGGTAGTTCCAGGCAGAATGATTTGCCTTTGTGCTGCAGTGTTTTTCAAAGTGAAAAAGAATCCGCAACTCTAAAAATTAGCCAGCAATGTAACACATTCTAATGTCCATACACACACTTAAGGCGTTTGTGTCTACAATGAAATCCCACTAAGCTAAAGAATGTTTTTGAGCTGAGTGAGATGATTAGGCAACCCTTTGTCAAACTAAGGGTGTCAAATTGGAGAAATGCTTGATTATTGAGCCATTTAGTATTTTCTTATTGTGCATTTTCTCCTACAATCACAAGGGCTAGTGCAAGATTTGCTGAGTAAATACTCATATCATAGCAACCTTAGAATTGAGAGAAACAATTTTATTGAGCAATTCCAAGGAAATGTTTGTATTTTTTTTGTAGACTGACGGAAACAGGTTATCCAAAGACCTAAAGGCATACTACAGTTCTGTGAAAGGTACTCTCTTCTTTTCTATTTGGTCTTCTGAAACTTGCCTCAAAGAAAAGTTCACCACAAGCATCGCTGATAAACAGATACATTCTAACACGAGTTTCTGTTCTAACAAACGTCTTTGTTCTTTTCTAATTAGCCAGCTTCTAAAAAGTTTTTTTAAAAAACAAGATCTCACCCTGACCCACCAAGTGCAGTAGTTGTGCAATTATTTTTTTACATTTAGAGTCAGAAAATGATCTGCTTTGTGAAGCATAACCAGTTCTTTGATGAGGCAGCAGAGAAGCCTGCATACACTAATCCATACTTATACCACGGAACTGTCGAATTCACGTATCTAATGAGTGATGATTGATTTTCTATAATCTTTAATTCTAGCATTACTTAATAGAAACAAAGAAATTGCTACAGATCACTTAGACAACAACAGTGCTTCAGGCTGAGGACCAAGATCTGTGGTCAGTGATTTAATGCCAAATTGATTTAATGATGTAATGCACTCCTGATCCAGTCATATATTACAGCTCTTTTTAGCCTACATAAACAAGACGGTGCACAAGTCCGGGTTTAATAATCGGCAAACACTAAATAAGTCTGGCTTTACCCATGACGCTGCTGACTATCAGGAGTTAAATTAATAAACCAGTTGCTGAAAATATATACACACGCATATATATTTACATATATTGCCTCTGAGGCTGTGCGTTTAAAAATGTGTAATGCACAGCTTTGAATGCCTTCACCTGCTTATACCACTGTATACTGTACAGTGAGACCTTTACATTTAGCCCTGAGACTCCTTTGTATGTAACTTGCACATTGTCCCCTGATTCTCTGACTTATACCACTGTATACTGTACAGTGAGACCTTTACATTTAGCCCTGAGACTCCTTTGTATGTAACTTGCACATTGTCCCCTGTTCCACAGTTATGCGCGAGACCTCCAAACAGCTGTCACAGACGCTAATGGGAATCTACAGCTCTGACTTTGAAAGAGAGGAGGACCTATCTCTTGTTATGGCGGTAGGTTGCTGTGGCCTCTCATTAGCCTAGAAATCTAGAGAACATTTGAAAAGCTGGGAGGGGGCGGGGCACTCCTTTCTCGCAGTAAACTTTCTCTCTCCATGAAAGAAGGAGGAGCGTCTGTGGAGTAACTTTGAGGAGAAGCTTGCAGATGGCAGCATCCGTATCATGGATAATTACATGAATCAGTTCCCTGAAATCAAGGTTCGTCAAAACAGAAACACATACATACACACTTTGACACAAACTCAGCTTAATTCTTACTTTAAAGGATCATTTTACAGGTGTTTGCTGAATTATTGTTTTGGCCTGAAACACTCATTCTCGCAATGTTTATGTTATGTAACTTGTCATTCTCATAATGCTGATTTCCCCCCCCCCCCCTGTATTTATTTGTTTATTGAATTTTCCCAAACTACTACTCATTAACATATCCAGGAAAAGGTGGCCAAGCGAGGCAGGAAGCTGGTGGACTTTGACTCCTCGCGCCACCACCTGGACGTGCTGTGTAACAGCAAAAAAAAAGACGAGGCCAAAATAGCCAAGGTGAGACAGGAAAAGGACCCTATTTCTTTCAATAGTGAGCAAAACTGGTGACTGTGGACTGTGGAAACGTCAAAAGAGCCATGACAATCTGACAGTTCCTCATCAGTCACATAGTTCTTTCTCAGAATGTTTGTCACATGACTCCAGCTTGGATTAATTTCTCTCTGACCAGGCAGAGGAGGAGTTAAGCTTTGCTGGAGAAATATTTGATGACATCAACACAAAGCTGAGGGAAGAACTCACAGCTCTCTACCAGAGGTGAGGCCTAGTGGAATGTCCGGATGCAGACAGTCACAGTCCCGTATACCATTAATAAAGTGAAAATAATGGTGAACCCACCCCAACACATGCAGTGTTAGCAAGCATGGGACAATCAGCTTGGCAGAGCGAAGCAGGTTGATACCACCATTAACCGTGGGATTATTTATCCATCACACGTCTGTGTTGCTGTGAGAGCTGTGAGGCAGGGGTGTGTGCGTGCCCCGATCCACATCCTTCTTTTGATCACTCCCTGCTGATGGTGAAGACAAAATTTGACCGAAGTCTTCTCTCCCCTCCCTTTCAAAGTCGCAATGGATGCTACATAGAGGTCTTTCAGAACATCTCAAGTTTAAGGGACATTTTCTACCACGAAATGTGCACGGTAAGAGTTGCAATGTAACTGACAGGGACACCTGCACACTTAACATGCACCTACTGTGAATTTTCATTAAAGATCAGTTTTAACCTTTTAAATACATAGTCAAATGAATCTTCTTTATTATTGTTTAACATAACAAATGTATATTTTTGTCATTTAATAGGACAGTCTCTCTTGCTTCAGTTATTTCGTATCTGATCCATTCTTATTTTTTACTCTAACATCCAGAAAGTAGATCATTAAACCTCTCCTTATCCTGATTCTCAAATGGGCGGGGGGAAAGATTCAATTACACCAGGATTAAAAGAAGATATGGAAGTGTCAAGAGGCCCCCAGAGACTATGCCTCACTTTCCTTGCCATTTAACGTAATCCGTGTAATTTGTTTTAGCTGAACCATGAAGTGTTCAGCGTCATGAAGAGTCTTGAGGCTCAGTACCCTGATGAGGTGTCCACCATTAGAGCACTGCAATGGTACGTGGCCTTCAGTTCTTTGCTCTGTATTGTCCAGTAATCAAAAATTACATTGCATATAAGCTAAAGTTATGTTGCCTGGCTAAGTCAATGACCAAGACTAAGACTGCCTAATCATACTGGGCAGTTGCATTAATGTTTTCCTTTTCTGTCATTAAGCTCTGGCTCCAAAAAGAGGCGATCCCGTGTACTGTCCCCCATAAAAACTACCTTTCCAGCTCTGACGCGGAAATTTAGTTTCCGGCAGAATGAGAGGGACAAAGACTCTGACCTGGCCAATTCAAAGGGGGCTAATTCGGCACTGGATCTGCAGAGCAATACACCACCCATGGCCCCCAGGACCCTGCGCACCGAGGAAGGTGCCCAGTCAGAATGCACGGATTCTGAGCTGAACTTCACAAGTGGCAATGAAATGTGCGAGGAGAATTCAGAACCGAACAAAACTGCAAATAAGGGTTCTGGTGAAAATGTAGATATGGAAGAGGAAGGAGAGCATTCAAATGAAAAGAAAAATGGGTTACCCAAGCCAAACCATAGCCACACCGTAGATGAATCTGAGAAATTGAGTGAGAATGGTAAGAAGAAATGCCCGACGGTTATTTAGAGAGACGTTTTGAGGGTCTGGCATGGTTGATGTCCATATTATGCGACAAACCTCTGTAGACTAGTCCTTCTCTTAAACTGCACATCCCATCCTAGGGTTCCTCAAGAGCCCTGGTGACCCTGACCCAACAGAAAAGGAGGAAGGCCCAAACCCAGACTGTCCTACATCTGACAAAGATGACAGTGATGCAGACAGTGCAGACAGATCTGAAGCAGGGAACACCACAGGATTATAAAATAAGGTGATTAATATATAATAAAGGGTTCTGCATCACCAACATAAGATGTACAGAAGTCCAGTAGGAACTAGATGATTCTGGTCTACTAGCCTTATACTGTAGCAATTACCTCACTCATATAACTTGATGTGTCATAGTATAATTATATTTAATTGACATTTGTTTAAACATACAGCATTGTACTTACACACATATTGTACATGTGCACTAGTTTAATTAAATGCTTAATACAAATTTCCAGCAGTATTATTGATTTTAATTTAGAACAGGAATAGTTTTCCCTGTTTGTCTAAAATCCAACTAATTAACACTTTGTCAAAGCATTAACATTGTGTTGTTCTCTCAGCTGGAGGACGTGGAAAAAAGAACCACTTAAATCCATGGGATCACAGCACATAAATCAACAGGAGCTGGTCTAGAATACTGTCAGGAGCGCGCAGACGGATGAACGCTGACTGCGCTTCCACCATTTACTCATGTTGCTGGCGGAACTGCAGAGTTTACCGATCGACGAGGGATTCTGTCATGCTTTGCGGGGGTTTATAAAGTTAGATCATGAAGGCAGATAATTCGGCGTTCAGCTAGTTAAAAGACAGCCTAGCGTTCTCCGTTTGACTCCAGAATTACAGTTTATAGACAGCAACATGACCTCCTTTCCAACAGGACAGTGTATTGCAAAGATCGTACCATGAATCGGAATGTGATTGACTCACTTGCTGGCCTCCAATCCACACCTTGATCCGAATCCTAATCAGATTATATTGATTTTATAAAATTGAATCAGTTGTTGACTGTTTTCACTAAAGACGTCCAGGTACGAAAAGCATTTTTTTGAACACCAAAGCCAATGTATGATATATGTAGTGTACGGAGCTGCAGGAAATACCCTGCTAAGAGAACCTGAAGTTTTGCCAGTGTCGTGTTTATTTAGGCTTTATTCTAAATTGACTGCTTTCGTCATATCATGAAAAGGAACAAAAATGTTTTAACAGACACTATGAAATGTATTAGTAAAACGAATAACCAGTTAACATACTAAATAAACGAATCAATGTAACATGTTTTAAAGGTTTCTTTTTTAAAAATAAACACCTGTAGATTAAATACATATACTAAATTTAAAATGCCATTTCAGTTTTTCAGTATTCAAATATTGGCAAGAAATACATCTGACATTCACTATGTAAATATAAAGAAACCAGTACAAATACAGGCAAGAGTCTAATATTAGGTCGTTGCTACGTTAAAACAAAGCTATTTACAGTAAGATAAAACAGTTCCATGTTACTATCCTGCCTGTATCTCGCCTGCTAAGTTACTCTAGTTAAGAGATTGTGGCCAATTATGGGGGAAAATAAAAAAGCAAACAGTCCTGAAAGGTGCCCAAATACTCAATAAGTCACAGGCAGAGGCATAATCCTTAGAGAGGCCTCGCTATGCCACAGCCTGCTGGTGCGCAGCTTTAATCGAGGCGGCGTTTTATTTTGCAAAGGCGCAGCACGCAGGCGGGAGCGCGCCTCGACTGGGACCGCCGCGTGCTAGGTGGGCGCGCCTGTCTGTGTTTCGGCGGATCTTTGAGGCTCCTGAGCTGGTGTTTTCTAGCTGAGCCGAAGACCCATAAAAATGACCAGTTGTGGTGTAATTCGGAGATAAATACCCTCAAGATAAAAGGATATAAAAAACGGACTTTGTCTTTCTCCGGAATCTTTCACACTCAGGTGAGCGCCCTCAACGCAGCTGCGCGCGACTGACTGCCTCGGCAGCGAAGAGTGATACGTTTTTAAAAGTTCCTGTGTGATACCTTTATTTTTAATTTACGATAGTTTGGTTGAGTTTTAAATCTATGCTGGTTGCCGAACAGCTAATTCCTGTTGCTTTGTGCTAGCTGGGGAGCTAGCTGACTAAGAGTCACAAAAGGTGTTCTTTGCGAATACTGTTTTAGCCCTTAAGCAATCAAAGCTAACTAATTAAACGTTAAAACAAGGGAAAGGGCACTCATGTTAGGAACTTCTCACCAAATAACTCTGGAGAAAAGTTATGGAGACGGGTGGCGGATGCTTTCTCTATTGATCTTACGGGACAAAGAAAGTAATTTGTACTTTAAAGGGCCGGGTATGTGAGCCGGGAAAATGAAAGTGGCGACGCAGCTACTATGAGAATCGCGTGATTGTCATCTGGCCTTCGGCGACAAAAACGCGTGGACTGTTTCATATAAGCATGATGGGAGAGGAAAGTTAAACACTACCAGCTCATACATGGCAGTGCTTCCACAGGAGTCAGGCGTTTATTCAGGAGTTGCTTCAGGAGTGGCTCGCTATCAATTGGCCTGTTAGAGCGCTGTTCAAGATCACAATGCATGGATGCTGCTAGCTATTTGCGGTGATGTTGCATGTGGCACAACTTCACAGCCTACTTGGTTTCAACATTAACTGAGTCTATGCGTTGAAATTTTAACTTCTAACTGAACATAAATTGGTGCGTAAAGCATATTGCACCGGGGTGCTTCAAAAAGTTTAGAATATTATAAAACATCAATTCATAATGATTTTATTTTAGGTTTTTTAGTAAAAGACACCCTGATGGTCAACATGACAGCAGCCCCTCACGCTACAAGTAAGTCTTTTTTATTTTTCTGAATAAATGGTTTCATATTTGTTGGTATTTCCTTATGTTTTGGCACGTAAATGCACAGCGGTATTTTCACATTATTTAAATATGAGGAAAATAAAACCAGTGTTGACACTGCTGGAATATAATTAACTGAATCTAATTTCGCATAATGTTAAATGTGATTTCATATAGCTGATTGTGTTTTTACCTAGACTTATGCTTCCACAAATGTATCACTTGCATGTCATCCAAACTGTTCCATGTAAATTTTAATATAATATCTTTTTTCTTTAAAACTGCTTACCAGCTGAAAGCTTGATTCAAGTGGCATCGCACTTTGGGCACCATCTACATTCATTGGTGTCTGTTGCAGTATAAAATGACTTAGTGGTGTTAAACAAACGCAACAATAACAACGTTAGGAAGAAGTGCAGGGTTCAATTTTTCCCCAACTACTGAACTGCTTTGTATTTCTCAATACTGAAAGGATCTACTGTATGTGCCAAGATTACGGAACCTGACAAGTTTGTTTTGGAGTATGCAGTCCTGTTATACTGGTTTTAGGAACTCTTTATTAACTTATTTATTCTTGTCTGTTTTCAGCTCCTTTGTTACAAGGGCTCACTACCCCTCTGCCTGGACATACAGACTCTATTGTCATTGGAGGTGAATGTTGGTGAATTGGGGCTGATTGCTGGCACAGAATTAATTTAACAGTTTTAATATTTTTAATTAAAGCAGTTGTTTGCCATAAAAGATTCATTTTAGGTAGTTAATGGTTGCATAATGTCACAGTGAGGTTGTAACGTTACATGCTCCCATGCGAGACAGTGATGCTTTAAACTTGATTGAAGGTACTTCGGTTACTGCTGTAGATTTTGCTGTGGATAAGTTTGATTCATGCTGTGGTGGAAGTCGAGGTGTTTTCCAACATAACTGTCTGCTTCACTGTGTTTTCAGTGGTGGTGTTTTTTGTCCTGTTGACACTGGGGTGCCTGAGTTTCCTGCTGTACCGGTACATGTGTGCAAACCGGGGAGACTACAGGACGACGGGAGAGCCTGCCCCGGGGGAAGACCTACAGGTGGATTACGATAAAGAGCCAGATGACAAGAAGGAGTACTTCATATGAACAGCGTCTGGAAACAAGAAGAAGAAATTTAATATAATGGATGCGGGATAGATGTTTGGGTCTCAAAGTTGGGTCTTGTGGCTGCTGGTATGCGGGATAGATGAGATGACTGTGGAAGTGAGCGGCAGAAAAGAGGCCTTAACATTCGAAGCAGCATCGGGGGAACCTCTGCCACAAACCCAAGGTACTTTCAGATGGAGCATCTCAATATTTTTCCTTTACATGGCAGACCTAGTTCATACAGTACATGCAATTTTGTTTTTACACATTTGCTCAGTTGCCTTGACAAGTTCAATACATTTGTCTTGTATCCAGGGTCAATAATTGATTGGTTTCGTTTGATGAGATCAGAAGAATTGGTTTATTTTTTATTAAATTTATTTTTAGGAATTTTATGTGCTGTCAGTCGCAAAACTTTTAAATGCACAGTATGGCAATTAGACCCTGTTAACATTATCAATGCAATGTGGACATGATGGCAAACAGGAAAATCGACAGCAGCACTACAATGCTCTGTTATATGTCTGCCATTCTGTCCTGTCAGGGGCTGGCAAGTATGAGCCTGTTAACAAATGTCAAGGGTGTACGCAAAGTGTTACTGACCCTGAAATTTGTAATGCGCCCTGTATCCTCAATCGGCCTCCCGTCTTTGTTACCGTGAACAAGGTGTTGGTGTTTGTTACCACTTATATATCCAGTGTAATATTTTTAAAATTCTTGGTGTTAGCCTTGATGTTTTTTTCCTATTATTATTATTTTTAACACTGCACAGGGCATTGCACGTGAGTCAAATTTTGGACCACGTTAAAAAAATTTTTTGAAGGTGAATGATATTCAGTTTGTATAACTGCTAATGAAGGCTTTTTCCTGTTTGCGTTGCAGTTGTGGAAAATATTTAAGGAAATAAAATGTGAAGATTAAACAGGCTCTTGTGCTGTTTGTGTATTGCACGAAAGAATTGAATGCCCCTGTAAAAAATATGTCTCAAAAAAAACTTTTAGCAAAGTGAATTTCATGTTCATCCCTGTAGGCAAATTTAATATGGATCCCCATTTTATAAGATCAGCTCTGCAAGAGTAAAGACTCATTTTCCTGTTCATACTGGTATTGTTGAAAAATTAAATTTTCTCAAAAAATGCAACAATGTGTGGTCTAAGGTTAATTTTAAATTGGTTTTGCACTCATTAATTTACTAGCTAATACCACAATTTTAATCCGGTCATCACCATGTAGTGGTAAATTTAACTTGCTTTGTTACTTTAAAATGTTAATTTTACTACAGAATGTTTACTCTGAAGAGGCAGAAAAGGAACTGTATCCTGAAATTAAACCATATACAGTATTAAATTCATTCAGCATGCAAATGTAACACGGTGTTAGAAGTGGGCTGTGATAAAAGGCAAAACCACAGAACTACAGTACATTACATAATTTCAGCAGTTAAGTGCAGATGGTGAATTAGCATTACTTTTTGCTGTTTATATTTTTTATATATTATTTATATGTAGTTACAAATGTGGAATAACTTTAAATACTGGTTACATTGTCCAGTTAGCAAAAAGCTGGAAAATCCTATATAATAAGCAACATGTTGTCAGAAATGTGAGTTATTGTGATTCGCCTTAAAATGCTTTCAGTGATAATCTGCACTGTTTAAACAGAAAAGTGCATTAGGGAATCAGTAGCTGTAACCTTTTAACCATAATTTACTGTAATTTCTTCTGTCTTTAATGTAATTAGTAGAGAGAGAGGATTCCTAATATTAAAATGGCTTTCTGTGTGTGTGTGTGAGAATACAGTAAAGAAACATAGAATTCATATTTCCAAAATACTCTCTCTTTATTTTAAATTTTAATCTTTCTTTTACATTTAGTATAAAAAGTTAAGTGCACCACAGCTCCACTACAAAATCTTTTCCAATGTCCTTTTTGTCAAGGGTCCAAATTCTTTACACACAGCACACAGTGACATTCAAATCTTTCTCAAACACCTCAGAAGATAAAATATATTCACCAGAATCCATTGTTTTTAATATATATGTACATATAAAAATGTAAGACAATCCCTGAACTATTCATGTCCACATATACTACACAGAAATGTATTTCACCCTAAAGTTTGATTGGCGCCCTTAACAGATAGTGAGCAGGACTCAGGTTACTGTGAGAGTGCTGCACCCTGTCACATGCCCTTACGGAAGGCGCAATAACCGGTGGGAAACCAGGAAAACAACATGAGCGGGTCTCTCTCTTTTTGCACTAACAGAAGTACTTTAAAGAAATGTTAAATGATTTTTGGAGAGAATAATAAAGGTTAAGTCCCTGGATATTAAACATTAGTGCAAGTGCTATTATGAAATGTATTCACAATGGGAAGACGACAAGCTTGTAGATATATTCAAAGAGTCTTGTTTGTAGTGCATAAGCAGAAAAACACTTGTTAGATATCCATCCATGCATCCCCGCTTGTCCTATGCAGGGGCGCGGGTGTCTGGAGCATATCCTAGAAGCTACGGGTGCAAGGCAGGGAACAACCCAGGATGGGGCGCCAACCCATTGCAGAGCACACACTCCATTCACGCACACATATTCACACCTACGGACAATTTGGCATCTCCACCTCAGCATTTTTTTTTAGACTGTGGGGGGGAAAACCAGAGAACCTGGAGGAAACTCCATGACGACACCAGGAGAACATGCAAGCTGCACACAGGTAGAGCCGCGTCTCCAGAGCTGCGCGGTAACCATGCAAACCACTGTGCTACCGTGCTGTCAGATTAGATACCCAGTATCTAAAACGGCAAGTGAAAGTAAAGGCGTTTTAACAAGCAAATGACTATGCTGAGCAATAATTACGTCAAAAAGCATGAATAAGCACCAGCTTTGCAGTTATGTAACTGTAGAAATAATGATGTTCTGTCATTCAGTGCATGTGCATCAGCACATTAGTGTTTCATCATTCATCAATGTATGTAACACTTGCAGATAACCTTTACTTTTCAGGAAAATAATGAATCACTAATTTTGCAGTGTTTGACTAGCTGAGTACTTTTATGCAAATTATATTTCAAACATCAGGCTTTGATGATTTTAGAATATCATTATAAAATTATAATTATTATTTTTATTATTATTATAATTATATACAGGGGATATATGAGACAATTTTGAAACTGAACCGCATCACAATGGAACCACTACTGTTGATCTTTTTCCTTACACTTGACTATGTAATATTTAAAAAATAAGTGACAGCCACTGAATAATAAATGGAGAGATAAATTATACCATTAAGTATAAAGTCTAAAACTTAGCCCACCCTAGGTTCACCGTAAAAGACTGACTTTTTAACTTTGCTTAACACTACAGCATTACCTCAGAATGGTCTCACTAAAACACGCTCTTTCAAGGAAAAGGTGTTTCAGCTTCACCACCTCTGGGAATATCTACATCCTAGGCTGATATCAATATCACAATGCTCACATGTTAAAATTTCACTGGAATTTTCTCTTTAATAAAGTGAAACTGCATGTTATTCAGCATTAAACTGTATCCAGCCTTCTTAAATGATCAATTGATTATACACTGTAACTCTAGATTATCAATATAATTGTTTTGAATATAAAAATGTAGCTTTTTTTATCATTACCCATATTTCAGGAAGGATATTAAAGTGATATACTAATTATGCTTTGGGTAAGAAAAAGCAAATGATATACAGTAACTCTACATGCTAGAAAACGTTACAGGACATGTGCTACACAGTTTAAGTTGTACTAAAGGAAACTCTGACCTAGATGTCAGGCAAAACACAATGACACTGATATTTTAATGTTATGATGCCAACCACTCCTTCCAATCCAGACTACAATGTGACCTACACTGCAATTAATTTCAGGATACTTCTAAAGTTTGATTTTTTTTCCTAAGTAAGGGTGCGTTGAAAATTTTGGCACCTGATAATGTTCATCTATATTTGCCCTGAAAGGTGTGATCTCTGTTTCCATCACATCTAATTTTATTGTTAGGCTGCTTCTGACAGTTCTGAATTGTAATTCTAAAGATAGAATGTGTGAAACAGGATACATATGAAACATCCCATCTGGTTTAGATAATCAATTGATTTACAGGATAATTTTATATCAGAATGTGATTATTATTACAAGGCATATTTAATATTTGATGTAGAACTGAAAAAGGGATCCTTAATGCTGCACTACAAGGAAAACATTTTTTTTGAGGAAGATGCTTACGAAGACTAAAGAAAATGCAATTTCTGTTTTTCTATACACTGACTTAAAAATGGGGGGGGCTTTCCCCCAATGTAATCCCCGGTGTACAGTGCACTGAAAATATTCAGAAGACGGTACTCCAAGTTTCCAACATGCTGCTGTTTGTTTGGTAGCCGTGCCTTCCTATTGGGCAACTTTACATGGACTCTGGCTCGGGCAAGCGGAGCACTGCACCTTGAGGTTGGGCAATAACATATTACATTCTGTTAGGTGATATCAGTATTGCAGCAAGCAGCCCTGGGGAAGGTGACGGACGAGGGTGTTTGATGGGGTGAAGAGGGCCACAGGAGCCCAGATAGTATTGGGTGTTACCAGATGGTGTAGCCCCCATTGGAACCCCCCAGAAAGAAGTTGTTCTTGCGCTGTGCCATCACCAAGTTGGCGCCGTGCATGGCTGCGAGCTGCGCTGCATTGGGCAGGTGCCCAGGGGGAGGGGGCTGTGGAAATACAAGCGATCAACACGATTGGACCATAAGTTATAGTGCTGACAGTGCACTTGCAGAGGCCAGTATCAGTACAGGACAGTGTTGGGTATACTGGACTCATCAATATTCATGTCAAGGCTCTTATGGGAATAACAAGGTTTTGAAAGCTAAAGTGGACCAGAATTTCATATACCATCAGCCTCTGATGTTTCAGCGCCCTAGCTTTCGAAGCCTCCATTGCATATCAACCAATAGGTGACACATCCTGTAAGCAAATGTGAAAGATACTCAGGGTCACTACTCACAGGAAGGGTGGTGCTGCCGCTCGGCCCAAAGCGGGCTCCTGCGTCGAAGCCACCATCTACCAGCACTGTGGAGCCCGGTGGATACAGAGCGCTCACTGGGTAGTACGCCATGGGGATGGTGTGGCTCATTGGTCCGATCGGCAGAGTCTGCGGCAGGGGCACAAACATCTGCGTGCCGGGGTAGGCCGCGGAGATGTGCGGCAGCTGGCCCGGGGCCTGGGGCGCGTGCATGTACCTGGGCTGGTAAATCTGCAAAGGAGAGATGTGGAGCGGGAACAGAACAGGAAGACAGAACAGAGAAGGAAGCGCATAAGAAAACCACCCCCAGCGTGGCCTGCTGTGTGCAAGCAAGCAACATGGCAGCACAGATATTCAGTGAACAGAGGAGACTCAAAGCCTCTCACATGCTCTGAATTACAGCAATCAAAACAATTCCCATAGCTAAATTTAACTGTAAAAACAGAAGGCAAAGTGATCTGTTATAATTATGATGTGCATGACTTATAATAGTCACATAATACCTAGTCAAAACTGCACCTGTTCATTGGTTGCTGAGCTTAAACTGTCTCATAGGTTGAGTGGAAAGAATCAACAATTTTTTTGAACATGTTGCACAAACACAATAACAGTGGGATGGGATGTCCTTTTGGGACAACCATATAAACTTATGTCATCTCACGGCAGGAGTGCCGAAAAGTTTTGACTTGTAACATGTCTTGCTGTACACAGAAAGGCTGACCAACAGCGTCTGGCCTGTTTCAGGCTTGGCCAGCAGTGTTTCAGGCAGAATTTTGTTCAGGCAGATCAGGGGTCACCTCAGAATATGAAGGGGGGGCCTCGGAATAGGGCGGTGCCTGAGGGGAGACCTGCATTCCGGGAGGGTAGAGCGCTGTGCCGGGTT